AAAGAGACACAAAACAACCACAAAGAGACAAAAAACAACAAACAACCACAAAGAGACACAAAACAACCACAAAGAGAGACTAAACAATTACATAGTATGTGTGTCTTGAACTGATGTAGGACAGGTGGTGTGTTAAACACTTATAATCTCGTTCATTGTGTGTTTTACTCTCTGTTGCAGGTACTGCATCAGTCGGCCACAGTACAAGACATCATGTGGGATCTCTTCTCTCATTTCCTGCTGGAACTTCCTGTACAGCACTCTGGGTGCAGGAAGGTGAGCAGCTGGTCCTCTGTGAGGGTTTAGTTCTGCAGACTTCGCCTGAGGGAATTACCCACAATTCATAGCAATGTGACGTTAAACACGGGGTTACCAGTAAAAGCATGGAGACGTAAAACAAAAAGGTAAACAAAGAGGAATAAACGTGAGTTCAGGTGTATTTACACTGAAATATTAAGGATTACAGATGGAACATAAACACAGATTATATTACACAGATTTATTCCTCAAACAGTTCATTTGGTCATTGAAGCCGTTTTGACAAAAACGAGTAAATCGATTATTTGATTACCTCTCATCTCGTTCAAATTAGGGAGTAAAAAGTATAGAATAAATACTCACGATTGAACATAAGAAGAAGTCCTCACACACTAACTGTGTGTTCTCTCAGTCTGCCCCCCGTCTCTCAGGAGGAGGCTCTGCACATTCTGGGGTTCCAGCCGCCTTTTGAAGAGATCAAGTTCGGTCCTTTCACCGGAAACGCCACCCTGATGCGGTAAACACAGCTGCTTCTTTGTTAAATACACCCTCCTCACCGTCTGCAGCTCAGTGATCAGTGAATCTCTCTCTCAGCTGGTTCAGACAAATCAACGACAACTTCCGCGTGCGAGGCTGCTCGTACATTCTGTACAAACCACACGGGAAACACAAGACGGCCGGAGAGACAGGTGAGCGACCGCCGTCACAAAAACCCCAAACAGCCGCCACGTGGTCTCACGAGGAGACAGGAAGTGGTTTAACCTCTCAGATGTTTGCAGCTGAAGGCGCATTGATGAAACTGACTCAAGGTCTGACGGACGAGTCCATGGCCTACATCTACCACTGCCAGAACCACTACTTCTGCCCCGTGGGCTTCGAGGCCACGCCCCTCAAAGCTGCTAAGGCCTACAGGTAGGAGTCACCGCTCCATCATTGTCACGACTGATTTATCTCTTTTTAGTGGTCCTTAAAGGGACAGTGTGCAGGTTTTAGTGGCATAGCTTGTGGTTTGTGTGGCAGGTTCTCTAGTTGGTGGAGAGAACTATGGTGGCTTTCAGGGACAGAGTTATCTTTAGGGTCGTAGTAGTAGTAGTAGTAGTAGTACTTCTATCGATACTCTGTTCTTATATAGCATTAAAAACAATAGATGCTCTTTCTTTAAAGGGGCCCTTTGGCCACCAATGAAACGGAGCACTGGATCCTGATCGGTGAGCCCAGCAGGAAGCACCCAGCCATCCACTGTAAAAAGTAAGTAGTGGTTCTGTTGGATCGGGTTCTGGATCTGAGCCGTTTTAACATGGAGCCTCTTCTTTCAGATGGCTCGACATCGTGACCGACCTCAACACGCAAAACCCAGAATACCTGGACATCCGTCACACGGAGAGAGGGATCCAGCGCCGCAAGACCAAGAAGGTTCAACCGACTCGTTACGCATGTTGTCCTAGATGTTACTGATCAGTGCTGTAGAGGACCGTAGTGGATCCGTGATCCATACTGACCCCCCTCACAGTTCTAGACTCATGTGAACCTCAGATTAATGAGTTTAACATAAAAAAACATCTCCTTCAAATGACTGGATTTATTCTAGTTTATCACCAAAACTACATTTTACAGATGACATGTGAACACATCATGATAAGGTTATAATGTACCTTCAGCCAGTACTCATGTTCACTGAGCAGAGCCTGAAGGCATCATCATGTAACTGAAGGGAACCTCAGTTGGTTAGCCGTTAGCGGTGCTGCTAACGTTACTAGCTCTCCTCCT